CTGACAATACCACACAGACAAAAAACATAGAGGTATTGGCATTCTGCTGCTATGTGGAGGATCCGAAGGCTCCGTAATAAATAAGCTTGTACCATTATACCGTATCTCATATACTGTTTTAAAACTTTCTGACTATAGGCATCGGCAGTGCCATTCAACAGCGTAAATATGCATGTTATTAAATGCCACAGTAATTTATAACAATGTACTGTTCTAGCCAAAAAATGATACGTGAATAGAGGTCCGTAGCAAATATCGAGGCACCTTTCCAAATAGTAACTGCATAAATAACCTCTACTGAAGGCATGTAGAAGAATGCAGATCAGACTAATCGTAAAACCCCAGATTAGTGGACTAGTGCTAACAATTAAGAATGTGCTAACAGGCACAGCTAAAATACATGACGGTTAATAAAGCCTTACCAGTTCCTCATCGCTGTACTCGTGCCTATCTTCGGCGATCACCAATCGGTCCACCTCTGTCCGATCGAGTTTCAGTACGTGATACAATTTTTCGCCATAATTTGAAGCGACGATATAAAACCGAGCCTTGGTTTCGTACAGTGTCAATCGCTGAAACAAAGGGACCACCATCTTCTACCGGAAGACTAAACGTTTGATTTTCAATACTACGTACAACAAATGATAAATGAATGTTTCAAATCAAACAAAAACATACCGCTAGCTTATACCATATGTCATATCATTCACAGAGTAATAATAAGCATTAGAAAAGCTTTGACTAAAACGTTTAAGCGAGTACAATGAACATGATGAAATGATATCCCTTTTAAAAAAAATCTTTTCTTCTACATGCCCCTATTCTGTCTTAGTCCAGGAAACGTGTAGGGAGAACAGACAATGTAGTACAGCCAATTCAACGGTCATGTGCCGGATTTTCGAAATTCCATCTGTCGCATTACCAGTGTGATTTATACAATATCTGGGTTCAATTCTCTTTCAGGTATTTTTTAACAGCCGTATGACAACCTCAACACGCCCTATTTCTAGTACGAGGAAGACCTCTCATGCTAGGACCCTGTGAACACGAACGTTTCCACTTCAAACTGAATTAAGAATATGCATAATTTTCAGCAACAAAATCTTCTCGTCATGCTATGGAGATGCGTCATTGGCGAGACTAAGGAATCGCATACTAGAGCACACAGCGGCTGAAGCTTATTCTTGTAGCTCCTGCAGGAATCGTGAAAGTCGGTCAACAACTTCTGTGGCAGATGCCAAATCAGACGATGGCATAAACGACAAAATCCTATACCTTCAAAGAAGCTTACAAGCTCAGCTCTGAGTGTATTCCCTGATGCAAAGATAAACTGCCATATCCGTATTCAATCCTTAAAAATAACGCATCAGGTCTAAGCTCTGAATAGATTTCATCTAAGGCAAATGATTATGTTGATCAAATGGTAGACTGAATGAACTTTCGTCACTCTTCCATCATAGATAAATGCACAGTGTACGCTATATACAGAGCAGCATGTATTACGTGGGATAGAGCAAATATAATTTAGCAGAACAAGGATGCAGTGTGTACATATCCAAAACTTATCCTATTTTTGGTGCGCGTACATAACACATACATGTGTGTATGCACGTACAGTAGAATATAATAGTAGAGAATCGAATAGGCATATGTATAATACTATATCAATATTCTACTACGCATTAAAATATTTTCATAGCTAGAGTACGTACAATGGCGGATATCTCATTCAGAACCAATTTTCACGGCCTATTACCCGTTACATTACAAAGGGACAGTGCACTCCGCCGTAAAATCTGCTTTCACAACAGTTATGCGCTATTTAGCATCCGTCTGCGTAGGAAAATTCGTTGATGTTTATGCGGCGGCATATGAGGAGTACCACCTAATGAAAAATTGTTCGTGACGAGCGCGTGAGGTAGTTCCATCAGGCAAAATGAAGCGATATGAATCTTAACTGCTAGTGCTCAAATATCATAGAATCGTGTCCTGCTTACCTGTCCCGTCGGCAAACAGGAGCTAGAGGGCGATACAGTACGCCGTAAAATCGGGTTTTGGAAAAGTTATACGCCGTTCTATATGTATACAAAACTTTATGCCATGCAATATATTGCACTGTTTGTAGAGTAGGGAGAGTAGGGCTGTATACAATACTATATGTTTATGGTTTATAAAGCAAAGTAGTACTACATATATTAGTCATGTATACACATTAAAATATACAGTAAATACGATTTACAATATACAGGTTGGCGACATTATGCGACAGTGTCCTGTTAAGTACAGTAAACACTTATATTACAGATAGAAAGCGCTGCGGACGTATTTAATTGCCGAGAATTCATGATGATGCCTATTAAGCTGACGATCCGCTGCACGGAAGGTAACACGTCATAGGCCATCGTTTTGAATGTGGGTTTAGAAGTAATCTTGCACAATATGTGCATTGCAGCACGATACACAGCGATACATAATCAGCACAGGAGATGCAGATATGCATGTGCAGCGTACATACCATAAGTATGTCATATGGTGAATATGTATTCCATATTCGTATATGTATTCCAGTATATGTAATTATCGCTTTACTACACAATAATATGGGACACATTCATATAATGTAACTATGCTATTATTATGTGTTATACTGAACCCATAATATACATGGGTATATAGCTGTTATATATGACTATCACGGTTCTCAATAACTAATACTATAATTCTAAGGAGAAAATGACAAGCTTTCGAGCAGATGTCCAATTTGTGGGGTCATTTTTCCCGTACAAGGAACCGAAAACGTCAGCCAAGAAAAAGCCCGCAAACCTTATCAATTGACAGGGCGGTCGAAGTGACACCTCAGCCAAATCAGCGAACAGTGTGCAGCGGCACATTTCATGCATGAATGATCCCGAAGCAAAGGTACGGATGACCTGAAAAGGTCGATGTCAATGTGAACTGAATTATTAAAATAAATTGAGAAAAACGGATGGTAACAAATTAAAAAGAT